TCCGTAAAACATAAGTTTTATAAGTTAGCGTTAGAGGATGAATACCATTATTGGCGTATATACATGTACATTGTAGTCAACAAAACCGTATCGTGATAAACAATCTGCGACTTGTAAATATATTTACCACTTCGCCTACACTAAGTAGGCCAAATACCTTGAAACTTGTGAACGGAATCAGACGACTTCAGTGATAATTATGCTAATGAAAAGTTGAAACGTGCTTCCTCGCTATGGTAAACATGTTTTTGTTTGCAATATTTGCAATATAGATTTACCAACAATCCCATGCCCTCCCCTTTACCAGAAACACTTGAAATGATACACCATTTTCCGTGCATAACATCTGTCAGGACGGGTGTGTAATAGGTCTCACAGCGATAAGACGCATAGCTTTGATCTGATATTATCCTCTTCAAGAGGAAATGCAAAACGGACATTTTCTTCTTCTTTCATGCCTCCATAACTTTTTTTTACATTATCCAGAATACTTTTATTGTTTAAAAGATTCGCTCTACGATAAACTCAGAGTATTCTGGGTAAAGTTTGTGGGCAGTGAAGAAAATACGCGTTTTAATTTTTTATTATTTTTTTTCGTCTGGCTTTGATATAAAATAGATTTGGAAGGGATTTTCGTTGGTAAGTGTCATCGATTAGTTTTTACAGATGCAATGATATTTCTTACGCAAAATCGTCCCCTTTTAGCGATTTAGTCGTAGAAATTTCAATGCTTAGGTAAACCAGATCTTGTCAAATTTCATGTAACCGGCTGTGTCGGTGTTCGTATAAAACAAAATACTTAACACTACTTAATATGGAAGATGTCATTGCATACATATATCTAAAAAGTTTTTTAATAGAAAGAGAGTGTGCTGAGTTATAACACTAAATGTAAACTTGAGTATAATCAAAGCACTGGAAGGATACCTTTGTATAATTAATACTATATAGAGGTATGATAAAAATTGTGATATACATGTAGTGTCATATTATTGTAGTTATGAAAACAAAGTGTGGAAATATACTTAAACTCATATTTTTGAGGGCTCTAACAGGGACTGGATGGAGTGGGTACCGTAAAGGGATAATATCAGCTCAAAAATAAGCGTCTTATCCCTGTGGTAGGTCCCAGGGCTTCTGCAGATGTAAATACACACAAAATGTGTCCTTGCATAAAAATATACGTATGATTCTGTAATCCCGCGTTTCTTCATATATTTTTCCAATAAAAGAGACCGGTTTCGTCATGATTTTCACGTGACTGTACGATTCCATTTCACAGTTATTTTGTAATAACCAAACTTCCGAAATCGTGACTGCAGTAAGGTATTTTGCATGGCTAACTGCGTGATGAATATTGAAAGGCGTGCTCATGAGATTTTATCCGTTCATACATGTTTCTTATCTGTTAACGTGATTATAACACATGTATGGGACACAAAGCGATATAATATCAAGCTTCACGATCAAGCTTGAGCAAATGTGTCGAAACTAATGGAATCATGACATAATTTTCTTTCACCTGATATTATTTAATTTTAATTTTAAGTCCGCTCGCTTATTGCATATGGAGGGCACCGGATTTGTACTGCAGAGGCTCGGGTAAGAGAGACATTGAATCTAACTGAGCCACGTCACGACAAAACCAACATAATAGCTTGCGACCAGCATGGATCCAGACCAGCCTGCTTATCCGCGCAGTCTGATCAGGATCCATGCTTTTCGCTATCAGTTTCTCTACATGTAATAGGGTTGGTAAGCGAACAACATGGATCCTGATCAGACTGCGCGGATGCGCAGGCTGGTCTGGATCCATGCTGGTCGCAAACCAATTATGTTGGTTTTGTCGTGACGCGGCTCAATTGTCATTTGTCTCACACCGCTGATTTAGAAATCATATTTGATCGAGAAACTAGGTCTACGTATTCAATCACTTTTGGAGGTTAGTCATTTTGGAAAGCCAGTTAGGTGGAAAGACCGCCGAGATATGACCAAAATGTGTTAAAATCGGCGTAAAAAACTTACCTTACTAACGTTATTGCAAAAAATGTCGGTACATTAAAGATAACTTAATATACAACTGTATCTGAAATTACTTTAATTGTCCTGTAATTACTAATTTTTCTGATAATAATGTTATTGTTGCTGCTGCTCCTGTTGTTAACTTAAAATGAAAGTAACTTCATCAGAAATTGTTTTTATAACTATGAGAAGGTAATAATGATAATGTTGTTTTTTGTTATTTTTTGCTGTTGTCGTCGCTAATGAAGATGAACATGACAATGTCTATCAGTTAGTATCTGTATAACGTAGATAGAGGCATTAAAAAAACAACAAGTTACCTAGATGCTCTGTAATTGGAAGGTTACTCTGGTATGAACAAAGTATAATAAGAACAATATTTTTTTTACAAGGCATCACTGAAACAATAAAATGTACAAATGTTAAAGATGTTGCTGAATTGTAAAGTTGAATGCTGTTACCCGCACTCCAGGTCATGCCCATTGATTTGCTCATTTTTGCTGTGGTTTACTTATTGTGACGGCAGAGAAAGGGAAAGCGGCAGAATTATCATATTCAGATGCTTGATCATTGGTTGTTTTTTTTCTGGGGTTTCATATTGTGACAACAGGGAGCGTATTTTTATGTTTGACTATACCAAACAGAAGAACATGAAAACACTCAGCAATCTGATTAATACTCGGGGGCTACGCCCCCTCGGACAAATCAGATAGCATTGTGTTTCGATGCTCTTTTTATTACTAATCAAAAGAACTTTTTCGGGAGAATTCTAGGACATTTGAAATACCGGGCAGAAATTTGTAAATCGGGGCTTTATGTTTGCAACTGTCCATTATTAAGAATGTCAAAAAGATCACAAATAAACAGGTCCATGTGTACGAATGAGTAAATAATGTATACTACCAGATTTTAAACAAGAGGCGATGAAAAACGAACTATAAAGTTTTTTTTCTGACGCATAATACAATATGTAAGGAAAGTTGAATCATCTGTTTAATTTAGCGCCTCAAATTCTGTTAAATTCTCATTTTAAAGATACATGAAAATTACTTTTTATGACGAGTACGTGTTTCATCGGTATATACAAAAGTTTTTCGACGAAAACCGTGGCAGTTATCATAAAGACCCCATCCTCCATGTTATACTATATGATAAAAAATAGTTCTCTTTTTCCTGTCAATCCTCTATTGTTGAATAATTTATACATCCATTTCCACACACATGATATTCATAATGATAATAGAAGTTTGAAAGGCAGTCAGAATTGTTAATCAATTAATCGATAGATGTTTGAAATATTGGCTGGAACTGGTTATAAATATACGCAATTGTCAATATGAATTTTTTTAATAATTATCGCTTAAAACGTCAGTGCTTTGTTAAGTCACTTGAAGCCAAACGTGCGCGCACATATAGGAATCCATCTAAATCTCTATGGATTCTATCGTAGGATAATTTGCATTTTGGGGCAATTAAGAATTCATAACTTGGTTTCGTTTCAGTGAATGTGATCGAAACATGTAAATGTACCTTTCTACATGCAACCTGATTTAATTTATATTAATTAGTGTTTAACCATTGACCTCTTCAATTTACATAACGGATTTTCCCTGGCCGGTTTTGCTCTATATTGATGGTAGGGGCTTTCGACTAGGTTACAGATTTATAAAGAAACATCTAGCCTCGAGGTTATAAAACCTTTTTTGACTTCTTTCTCGAATTTCAGTATTTTTATTTGTCTATGAACATTATGTGACAGTAATGTTTCATACCAATCAAATAGCAGAGCTTAGATAATTTCTTTATCATCTCGGACTTCGGCCTTCAATGTAACAGTGAAGTACGATGTCCCGTTAGGTCCATACGACACACACATTGGTGAAAAGTCGAAACAACGAAACCACGATGAACCACGATGATAAAAACTTATTTCGTGTTTTCACCATCGTACTTTCAAAGTTTTACCATCGTGGTTACATTTTTCATTATTTTTAATTTTCACCATTGTACTTTTGATTTTATGTAATCGTACTTTCGACTTTTCACTATCGTGGTTTCCACTCTTCATCATCGTAGTTTCGTATTTTCACCTTTTTTACCATTTTGACTTTTCACCATCGTAATTTTGGATTTTCCATGTGAGTGTCACGGTGGCCATAACGAGACACCGTAGTGCGGCCATCAAGCATGTCGTCATGTAGGTTCCTAATCAGTTTTGCTTGCTAAAGACTCATTGAGCATACCTGCCCGCTCAGCTCAATAAATAGAGCATCGGGTTTGTATTCAAGGTAGCGTAGGTTCAATCCTCGGGCGGAGCGAAAAGTTTTCAGGCATTGATTCTAACGGTCATTTGCCACTCACTGATACAGAAATCTAACTGGTTCAAAATCGTATGGATCTGATTTGCATATATTGATAATCTAGGAAATTAAGAAGACAGGACGCTATATTATGACCAAAAATGTTTAAATATTGGCATAAAACCAAACAAACGAACGTTATTCCAAAAGTGCAGTAAAATTTTTAATATGTTTTATAAAAAACTTAAATTATTTATAATCCCCACTTTTCTAATGATGATGTTGTTGTCTCTTTGTTTTTTTTTGTCATCATCGTCGTCGATAATGATGATGATGATAATGATCATCATCATCATCATCATTATCATCATAATCATGATCTCGTATTTGTTCCATGAAAAGATTTTGAATGATTTTTGAGAAAAAAAAATACATTTTGACATAACTTTTTTTACCAAACTGGCGAAAATAATTCATGAAAATAAATCAATGTGGCTGCGTGGGTTTCGTAACGAATTGTCATCGATGCTGTACAAAATAAATATTTATAAGTATATGTATATATTGATTTTTACCTGGTTAAAGTTTCTCTTTATCGGCATTTATTCAAATTAATTGTCAAGAGAGCTATTTAACAAAAAGAGCTTTAAATATTTTAGTATCCAACATTAGAATAACCGAAGTCGTTATAGTTACCGCCACGGACTGTTGCGACATCAGTCACGTGACCTTACCGGCTAGGGCTTTCCGCAGACGACATTTTACGGCAAACCCTTAATCTACACAGACGTTAAAATGTTTTGGATATTTGTAAGCAGTGCGCTTTTCCTCGGATACGGTATGTTGATACTTCAACATCTTTCTGTAAACTTAAATTGATTTAAAAAAAAAAACACGGTAAAATACGTACATAATGGTAACCTGGTTTTTAAAAAGTTTTGTGAGAATAAATTTGTTTTCAAGTAATTGATGGCACTATTTTGTAGTTACGTTCAATGTTCAGATTCACATATATCGATATTCCAATTGATTATCTTTTTTAACATTGTTTTCATATTCAATAACTTGTTCTCCTCGCGAATGCTCTACAATACATTCAGACAATGTTAGATTAGAAACTGAAATTAGAAACTAATTATCTATTTTCCAATCATTATTTACATTTGAACAAGGCAAGGATTAGCCATTTCACTACTTTGGAATTAAGATGTATAAAACAGTATTCACTCACTCACTCACTCACTCACCAACTCACTCACTCACTCACTCACTCATTCATTCATTCATTCATTCATTCACTCATTCATTTTCATAGCTATGATACCAGCGTTTCTATAATGTTTGGTAATTTTGTTCATTTATTCATTCATTTATTTTGATAGCTATGATACCAGCGTTTCTATAATGAAAAATGTTTGGTAATTTTGTTAGGAAATGTTTTATTTTATTTTCATATGTAATTAATGTGCATTTAATAACAGAGACACTTTTGCTTAACCTCTCTACTCTTCAGATATGACTATATTAAGAACATGAAAAAGTAACTATAAATCTACAGTTCCGCTAACCTTCACCAGTATAGAATTAATAACAATAGCATTAAAGCGAGGTCAGCCTTCACTACCATGCACGACATGCAGTCTGACCAAACCCTATACTGCTGTGTACATCTTGATTATTCTATATTTTTAATAAACGTTCTGCATGTTTTTAATGGATCGTTCCAGACAAGTCCATAGGTTAAGGGTTAAATACAATACTACAAAATGGCTTTGAATGGCATCTATATCATCTTATAAAAAAGAGGATTGTATTTTTTTTACATTTATAAACTTCCAATATCATTCATTCATTCATTCATTCCTTCATTCATTCATTCATTCTTTTTTTCTTTCTTTCTTTCTTTCATTCATTCATTCATCCATTCTTTCTTTCTTTCTTTCATTCTTTCATTCATTCATTCATTCATTCATTTATTCTCTCTTTCTTTTGTTTTTCTTCCGATTTTCTTTCATTCATTCTTCCTTTATTCTCTCTTTTTTCAGTCATTCTTTCTTTCTATCATTCCTTTTTACATTCATTTTTTTCCTTTCTTTCTCTTTATACTAGTACTTAGCATCGTTTAAGTTAAAAAAGCCCGCCCCTGCTGAGTTAATGATTATTGTTGTTGTTGTTGTTGTTATCGTTGTTGTTATAAAGTAACTTTATTATCACGCAGTGTCCTGTGGTACAGAGTACACGTTAGGAATGACTATACAGTCGCCGAGTGTCACGGAGGTCTATCTCGGACAGAAACTTGTTCTTCAAACCACAGCCACCTTTGCTGAAGCAGCAACTACAACGGGTAAACTAAAAAACAGTTGAGCCGCGTCACGACAAAACCAACATAGTTTGTTTGCGATCAGCATGGATCCAGACCAGCCTGCGCATCCGCGCAGTCTGATCAGGATCCATGCTATTCGCTATCAGTTTCTCTACTTGTAATAGAGTTGGTAAGCGAACAGCATGGATCCTGATCAGACTGCGCGGATGCGCAGGTTGGTCTGGATCCATGCTGGTCGAAAACCCATTATGTTGGTTTTGTCGTGACGCGGCTCATTTTCTACTGAACTATGAAAATGTGCATCTGAATTACTTTCTTCTCAGAATTCCGTATGGCAAATAAATAAATATTTGAATTTTAGAAACTGAAAAGAATTCATAGTGCAGCGATCTTTAAAATTTCACGTCAAAGTAACGAATAGGTTTTGATATGTTTTCTTTCCTACAAAACATAGCATTCTTGTATTATCAATAGCACCTTGAGATCGGAAGCAAAAATACCTTTTTTCGTAAAGGTGGATAAGTCATGACGACGTCATAGCAACCGGAGTGTTGCTATTAAAGGGACTCTTTTAGGGACCGGACTAGAAATATTTTTTTCCAAATTGATTTCCATTTGTTGTACGTGTAGACCAATTACTTGTGTGCAAAATTTCAGATCGTTCGATTACTCCGTTTTTCCAGGATAATCATCTTTTTTTGTGAAAAAAGACCCAACATTGAAAAGCGTTATAATGCTTTCACTCAAATTTGACTAAGAATAGCACAAAACAATACGATTTTCAATTCATTTCTTAGTATATTTCTTAATTATGTTTTGAATTTCTTATTGTTTAAATGCCCCAGATGATCTATGTAAGGAATTCAAATTTCATGGTTTTAGGCTTTTAAAACTAAGTGGAGTCCCTTTAATACAAACATATTTTCTTCTAATAAGACTTTAACATTTATCTGTAAAGCATACATATTTCTTATTAAAGTGTATATATGCTTAAAAAAATATTGTTTGAATTAAAAAAAAAATATTTCAAAATGCTTATATGATAAAAATATGGTAGTTAGTAATTATTGCTTTAAAAGCGAATGGTACATGCACGAAATTATTGCTTAACGGATATATATTTTTTCAAATTTGTTTACGTACAATATTCATGTGTATTAAATAACAGAGACACTCCATAAGATTATGGAACTTCTATAATTTTAATTTTGATAAATTTTATACAAATATTTTATAAGATTTAGCTATATACCCTTTAAAACACAAAATAGCACATGTTAAACCTATAGCGTACTTGAACGTTATTACAAGACCAAAAATATTGCCCATAAATTAAATATTACATTAGTTTTGTCCCATTACTAAAAATGAAATCATCAAAGCGTTGACCCATAATAATTGATAATTAACAATTAATATTAATTGAGACCTGATGCAAGCTAAACAACTAACTGTATAGCATTGCCTTCGATTTCCAATAAGTATCCAACTTTCCAGAGTTTACCAATAGATAGATTTTGTGCAGGTGTCTGTGACCGCACAGGTTATTGAACAAATATATGAAACTTTTATCATCCTTTTAATTTAAATAATTAAAACGGTTATAGGTTTCAGTGAGAATATCATGTTTTAAACTTGTGGCTACATAGTCAAAATATTGATCATGTGCCATTTATTCAACACCAATTGCATTGTTATACATACTTGAAACCCGGTAATATAAATGTGGTATTGTTGTTGCTTTTTATTAAAGAGTTAGTATAAATATCAAACTTCATGTTTAAGCACGTTTGCAAAAAAACTCTTGCAATTTATAATAACTATCGAATCCGCTTCCTGGGGTATAATATGAGGAATCAATGTCGTGATCCAAGTAGAGCTCGGACCCTTGACTGAAAGGCTGATACGTTAACCAACAAACATACCACCATTCCCCTACCACTAATACTGTAGTAACTTAAATAACTTAAGTCACTGAAAAAAAATCAGCTTCGTCTTATTGCGTATTCTTATCTAGTGAATTCAATCAATTTACATGAGCAAACCATATCTCTTTTCTGTCTCTAATCGTATGTTTTATTTCCCACGAAAACGTTAAAGGGGCCTCCAATAAGTGTGATCATGATGTGTAAATCGGCAGATTTTAATCCGATTTAACTAGACTTTTTAATACAAATCAATTCATTTCATTAACAAAGATTTAAAGAAAAACGTTTATTTCGCGGAACCTTTTCTCGATAAGTTTTTAATTTTTCTCGATAATTTTTAATGTGTGCCTATGATACAAAACAGGAAGAACATCAAAGCACTCGTAATCTCATTTGTATCATAGTTTGGGAACCTTTCTGTTGAAAAAGTGTCAGAGTTAAATCGTATACATATACATTCACAGTGCGGTAACTGGAGTGCCGCACTCCAGATCATGCCCGTTGATTGGCTCATTTTTGCTGGGGTTTACATATTGTGACGGCAGAGAAAGGGAAAGCGGCAGAAATATCAATATCATATTCAGATGCTCGATCATTGGTTACTTTTTCCCGGGGTTTAAAATTGTGACAATAGGGAACGTGTTTTTATGTTTGACTATGATACAACAGAGAAAGAACACCAAAACACTCGGCAATCTGATTTATACTTGGGGGCTACGCCCCCTCGTACAAATCAGATAGCCTCGTGTTTCGGTGCCCTTTCTATTACTTATACTCCGGAGCTACAACCCATCGTATAAATCAGATAACTTCCTGTTTCTGTATACTTGTAATCACAATAACGCATGATACATTGATATTGATGTATTACATGAGTTACCAAATCAGTTAAGGATTAAGTCGACACATTTTCCTTCTTTAAATAATTTAAACAAAACAATTCAGAACAAGGGCAATAATCAAAATAACTAAGACTACTCTCCCTTTATCCAATAAATCATTTAAGTTCGAAGTAAAGCAGATGTTTAAGAGAGATAACTCAGTATAGAACTCATTTGATTTTCAGGCGTAGTTATCGAGCTTATACCGTCCATTCAGTCGACGATTTTCGCTATTTGCAAGATATTGAGCTACACAAAGGGTTCGAGATTGACAACACCCGACACCACTCTGGATACCGGAAGTTTTGAGGGCAAATATGACTTGCACTACGGTCAGGATTATACAGACGAAACTGTATGCATTGTTTTATAGTTCATCAACATGTTTGTTTGTTGTTCATAACTTCTTAACATTTTGTATTGTTGTTGATGATGTTGTTTATTGTTGTTGTTGTTGTTGTTGTTGTTGTTGTTGTTGTTTCATCATTTGTAAATGTCCTAATGTACACGGTCAATGTAATGGTACATTCTGCTGTTTTTAAATGTGAACAAAAACGAAAAAATATATGTTCGAAGAATGTTAACAATAAAGCTATCACAATAACAAGGGGATATCAGCTTATAGTTCTAGATGAACTGTGAGACTGCTAAGAATAATGACTATAGCCCTTTCGGTTTTTGTATTTTTATGTTGTTTTTTTTCTTTCTAACGATTTGATAATTAGGAAACTATCTTAATATATGTATAATTATATTAATTCGAGCCGAGCCTTATATGATTTTGAATAAGACGCTTGATTTCCTCCGAATGACAAGATTTATTTTGCTAGTCTCAATAAAAATACCAGTACATAAAACATTCGCATACATCAGCGTTACAATTAATGACCACTTTTAAATTGGTGGCTTTGTTGCTAAACATTTTATTTACAACTTAGACAATGTTTCCTTATCTCTGTAGTTTACCGAAAATTTTATATTGTGGAACCAGGCTAAAATTAAATCACATACATGTAAACAGGTTGTCTCCAGAAAAAGGGGAACTGTTTCGTATTTGGACAAAACGCGTAGCTGTCAGAGCTGTTGCATTACACCGTCATAAAACATTAAAAGTTTTCAATCTAACTACTTGTTGACTTTTAGAAACTAGGAAACAAGTTCGTGTTAATTATGCCATTTATGTTTTAAAGCGAGGTCACGTGGGTCTGTTGTGTTGTCGGATTCCTTGCACATTACAATATTGCCTGAAGCGTAACCGTCTTGACGACTACTACTAGTACGGACGTAATGGAATTTTCGTGTCGTAACTGCCCTTTAATTTTAACAACTGCGCAGGATTCTATTCGACTCTTCTAAAGATATGCAGCACATAGCTGTGTAACACCGCACTTTGGGGTCAAGCGCACTTTGGGGTCCGACCCCAAAGTGCGTTACGTTCTTGGGGTTCGACCCCAGAGTGCGTTACGCACTTTAGGTTCCAATTTCGACCCCAAAGTGCGTTAAACAGGTACATATGCATTTTTTAACATTAGGCAAACGACCGCACTTTGGGTCATAGAAAATTAATGTTCATTATGTTTTAAATAATATATTGTAGTCAAAGCGAATGGTAAACAAAAAACTAGGTATTAAATAGACGCAAAACATGTGCCCTGGATTATAGTAGAATCAATAGGGATTTAAATGGTCTTGATAAGTAAGTGATGAACTTTCACCAAATAAATCACCTAATAAAGAATTTGTATCAATTATTAAGCTTAATTTTTTTCTCAAATTTTCCATATATTTTAAAAGAATTGTTTTTAGCTAAATGGATTATTTTCCCGTCTTTTTATTTACACATTTTATAGAAATATGATAGTCTTAGCATAGACAAAGGAATAAATTCTGGGTATGTGAGAAGTTAGCAGTGAACAGTGAGCTAAGCAAAAAGGCATTTTAATTTATATGTTGAAAGAGCCTTTTATTTAGCTAAATGTGACAATAAGAGCGGAGCTTTAGAATAATGTAAAATTCTCACTGGAGTTATAGAGGGGATTGTGGGGTATCGATCCCCCCCCCCCCCGAGGGTTAAAAATAACGTTTTAAAGGCCTATTATGCTTTTATTTGTTTTTCTTAAAAGCTTTTTCATTTTGATGTTCTTCTATATTATCCAAAAAATACACATTGGCCAATTACCTGAACAATCTCTTTCATTTGTTGCTTTTTGGCATTGATGAGTACAGTTATAGTAAATTAGTATTTTATATGGAAGTCAAATACTACAGTGTTTTGACTTATTTTATGACAAATGATTTCACATTTATTGCTACCTACTTTATTCAGGTAACAAGCATCTTACATTTCCCAGATACCATTATTTTAACATTATGAAATTCATGTTTGCTCTTTCTAAAAAAGTATGTAAGATTTCATATTTAAAAAAGCCTCTGGCGAACGGTTGTTACGGAACTTACAAAAATCCTTAAGTTTGTTGATAAGCTTAATAATGTATTTGTAAAAATCACTATTTATAGTCCGATCGAAAAACTTGATGTTTCACCAGAACATTGCAATAGAGTATATCTATAGTTCTTTGGAAAAAATATTAACTTCATTTTATTTCATTTCCAACATATTTAAAATGGGGCTCAATATGGCACCGAAAGTTATCAAGTAAATAACTGACAGAACGAGACATTTTTCGCAGCATCTTTTAATTTTAAGAATACACCATTTCTGTACTAGAGTATTTTAAATGGTGGCATAAAAGTGACATTCTAACACTATCGGAATTTTTTCTATATAAACAAAGAAGGCCCGAAGCGTGCATTATTCTACAACAATGCACTCGCCGTTCTTATTATCTCCCTGTGTATTTTCACGTTGAGGGTGCCATTTTGTTTGAAAAATCTGATAAATAAAAACATTTTTTTGTCGAATTTTGTTGTGAACACTATCTAAAATGAAAGAAAATGGTCTAACTAAGAAAATGAATCCGAACACCAATATCTTTAATTCAGTCGTTAACGGTGTACAGACGTTTAAAGTACGTGACGTCACAATGTAGCAACAAACAGCACGTGCAAAACAATCAAATCAAGTACGCTATTTTAATGTCGCAATCGAGTTAAGTTTTACATTTATTCCACTTTTTATAATTTGTATTTCGCTTGAAAAATTATAGAGTGAAATAAAATAAACATACAAACTTTTATCAACGTTTTCAAAACTCGTTATTCTGAAAATGTTTCTACACACGGTAGATTGAACGACAGTTTTTTTTTTCAACCCACTGGACAGCCTTTAAAGAACGTTTCTATCGGAAACTCTGAGGCGAAAACAAATTTAACCACCAAACATAAAGTCCAACTATAATAATAATTATATTCTTTCTTGACGTGTTACAATGGAAATAGATATTAATTCTTCGTGCATCATTGTATAATAATGCACGTTTTTCGTTCAAATGTTTTGTAATTAATCACTCAGGCCCATTGAAGAATTGACCCGATTTTCATAAAAATCCTTCAAAGCTTTAAGCATTTTTCTAATTCAGTGGAATATAAGGACCTTTTTAGATATTTTATTAAGCATTATTATAATTTACCAGTCATTTGTAACCACCTCCCTTGCCGCCGGGCGAGTGCGGGTTAAAAAAGAATCGTGTTTTGATGTTTGCGCTGTTCCGGGGCATAAGGCAGTAATGTTGTTATCTGAGTATCCCCCGCAGGGCGAAGATTTTACCAGTGGTCGGCTTGCCCCCGCCCCCCCCCCCCTGCTATTCTCAGGGGGTGGGGTTGAGTGGTGCATATTCATACCAATAACTGATCACGCAATCACAATCAACAGCCCTTTTTAAATAGACTCTAATATAATAGTATATAATAATAAAAAAAAACATTAATTATATAAAATTCATATAATTTAAAAAATGAGCCGAAAAGGGTCTGCCGAAACCAGACTTGCCCGGCCGAAAACGACTGGGCCGATTTCAAAAATGGGCCGAAATGTGACCAAACCACTGTGCTAGTTTTATACTCAACTATGGGCTGTTATGAGATGTGAAGGCTGTTTTGATTTGCTAAAATATGTACGAAAAACTAAAATAAAATATGAATGCAAAACTAAAATAAATATATGTATACAAAACTAAAAAAAAATATGTATGCAAAACTTAAAAAAAAAATTTCAAATGTCACTTTTATGCCACCGTAATTTTGTTATATGAACACAATTTTTAGATATTTCAAGTGGTAAAATTAATGAAACTTTCATCACTTAAGCATCATCAAAATATTGACCGCCATCTTGAACTCCACCTCAAATATTTCAATGTCGCAGATCGAAAATAAATCAGTACTCAGTATTTAAGCAGATCTCAGATGACACCTTTAGACCTCTGGAACCCAAAGTGCGTTGATATGTAGCATTTCTCGATTTTGACCCCAAAGTGCGTTTGACCCCAAAGTGCTGTGTTACACAGCTGAACATTACTTCGCAGTCATTTTACGCGTGCGTAAAACCTCCCTTGTCATAATTATATTGAATAAAACTTAAATGACTTTGTTTTAAATATGACACATGCGCAGTGTTTAATTAAATATACATGTACATGATATATCTTCAGTTGAAACAAAGATTCTACGATAGGGCTGTATTCACGATAGGGGATGTGCAAGGCGGTGTAACGGGCGGGGCTGAGGCCGATTATCAAATCGTCATAGAGTACGAAGTCGTGTATGTATCTGCCGCCGGAAATGCTGATCTGTCGGAACAAAGCATGGGCTCTGGTATGGAATACGACGGCGGGAACTATATCTGGATTAGCATATGTAGCATAAACATTAGGACGTCCGCTGGGGTAAACAATTGTTTATTTTTACATAAAAAAATATTTTTAAAAAATACACTTTGTTTTATTATATCAGTTAACCAACGCATGTGGTATAATATTGTTTGACTGTTTTACCTAACGAGTGTACATTTACTGATAGTCATTACTACTATGTTTTTTGTTTCTCTGCAAGTAGATGACAACTTCTTCTCAAAAATCACTTTAAACAGGTTTTTATAACAAATGGGATTACATACCTTGTCTTTTGTAATCGTAACAGAAATACAGGGTTCAAATCTGTTTTTTCTATTAGCAAGAGTAGAAGACAAGCGTTTGTTACGTTTTAGAGGGGTATTATTTGTTGTTGTTTTTATTATCATTATAATTACAAGAGTAATTATTTCTTTATTATTTATACTTTCATTAAAACAATAGTATGATATATCTAAATATGTATAATTTTTTTAATCGTGCGACAAGTTTACTGTTTAATTACAAACAGAAAATATAATTTAATGCGCAGAATGCCCGTATATCACAGTGCTATGACTGAACGAAGAAATTGCCGACATCTTAAATAAAGAGATTTTAGGGATATTTTATAAGCGAAGAAAGTTTCTCTCAATTTTTCAGACAGGGACCTCTGAGACATCTGACACTACGTTCGCAATAAATAATGGCGGCAGCGAAGACATCCAAGTGATGACGCCTAAAGAAATCTTGGTCACCATAAAAAGTCCAAGGTCGGCGTCAGCTTTGACGTTCGAGGTTGTCGGAATGAATAGTACGGACGTTGAAGGGTTCTCCGTGCAAAAAATAGAGTTGGTGTCCGTGGGTGAAGCGTATGCGTGTAATACTATTAAAGAAAACATTTACGTGCACGGTTATAGCACGTGTCCATTGAGTTCATCTTTGATTCTTGATCTGGGAAAACCGATTAATGCAGGTTAGCAAGCACAGTTAAAACAGAATTTTTTACTGTGTTGTTTATATAGCCCCAACTACTAGTATACTTCTTTATGAAAAAAAATGGGGTCTACTAAAAAGCTATTTTAATTGCCTGTGCAAAGCAGAATATGACACGTTTGAAATTCATAAAGCAGATATCCATAATTATTGTAAAAGTAATACAAATGTAAACTTCGTACCCGCCGTCTTGGATGTAAAAATAAACAATTATTACTTTGGATTTAATAATTTGAGGAACAAATTACCGATGTTTTCCATATGTGTTATTGCTTGCCGGATGGCCTTATGCGTCTGAGATATTCCTCCGCCAGGACAGCTGTGGTAAAGTCATATGACCGTAGTCATGTTATTGTGACTTAAAAGGTATAAGTTATTATTATAGTTATAATTCTTGTTTTTACTAATTTGTCACTTTATTATTTTTGCAATATAGAGTCCAAAGAGCCGTCCCCAGATACTAACAAGTATGCCTTAGTAGTAAAAGCCGTGCTGATGGTGGATAATCCAAACCTTGTAGGTGAAACACTAGGGGTTGGTTTTGGATTTGATATCGACGGTAGTGAGGTTTGGGTCACTGACATTGACCTTAATGTGATTGCTGCTCCTACACCGCCTGCTGTAAGTTGTATTGTTATTTTAACTAACTTTTTAATTGCGTAACATTTTTTATTTATATAGTTTTATATATGCCATTGTTTGGAACATTTGTTGCATTTATGAAGTCTTTAAATTAATGTTATAAAAACTACATTGTATCACATAAAATGACATGACACGACACGATATATGATTAAATTACACAACACTATGTAACATTGACTTATGATGCAACACGATATAACATGACATGATACTACACGGTTGACATAACACGGCAAAGCAAAACATGACATAACAGGACACGACATTTTCAGTGATGTACATTATATGTCACTGTGAAAATACATGATACCAGAAAAATGTAACACAGGCAATATATACATGTTTGTTTCTCTTACATTTCTAGATATGTTCATAAAGTTTAGACTTGTTTTATATAATCTAAGAAAGGTTTATCTTATTTAAGATATGTTAAGATATGTTCATAAATTAAGATAAATTTGAAATGTGCTTATGTACTTCAACAGCAGTTTATATGATCTAAATAATCCGTGTACCTAGCATATGTTTATATAACTAAACATTTGTTTACATAATTAAATATACTAGTATGTAAATGTATTAAAACATAATATTTTATATAATGTTTGCTATGGTTAAATAATTTAAGACATATGATTTTTTTAATCTAGGTCACGTTCATTGCGACAGGAGATAGCGGCCAAACGACAATATCGCCAGGTTTTGCAGGTGGTGCCTCCATAGCCGTTACGATTCCAAGGGGAACAAACCCACATTTTACTTTTAGCATCACTTCAACGGCTAATTCAGCAGTGACCAATGCTTTGAGCATTCTAACAAGTACGTTATCTCAATTTTCCCTCAAGAATCCTAAATTGTATGAAGATTACTAGACTTTTTACTTAGAGCAAACCAGAAAAAATCATCCTTTCAAAAAGATCATTTTTATACGATTAAACACATTCCAAAGCGTGGGACACACCGTTTTTTTTTTTGGGGGGGGGGGGGTTACATCACAGAATACGTCATAATGCCTGAAAGAGGTTTCTCAGTAAAGCTAAAAATGTTTGACCTAAAACTGGAAACTCGCTATATGACCCAAGTCGAAAGTCGTTATCTGGCCTTAAGTGGACATTCGCTATATGGCCTTACACTTGAAATGAATATCCAATAAATGTTGAGAGTATCCTTTTTCGTTTTTTAGCATTAACTGAATGTATGTTTGTAAACACAGAAAAATCGCAGATCCGAAACATTTTTTTTCGTTTAAAAGCTAAACATGATCAGAAAAATCACTTTCTTGATTTCGTTTTGACGTCTAACCATGTGTAGAAAATCTAATTCTTGATTTCCTTTTGACGTTTAAACATGTGTAGACAAATCTAATTTGACGTTTTACTGGACCTGGATAAATGTTAATTTTGATTTGACGTCAAACCGGATTTTGAAAAATCTTAGAATTGATTTTAATTTGACGTCCAAGCAAGTCTTAATTAATCTAAATATAGATTTTTCTATTGCCGTTTTACCTGGTCTGGGTTAACAGGGAATTTTTCATGAATGAGCTATTCTGGAGCGTTGTATCTTTACGGAGTCTGCAGTATCAAAGCACTGTAAATATTGGTAAAGCAAAGCAAGCACAAGCAAATCATTTAATACAGTGTAGGGTGTACGGAATGCCGTTAGGGCCATTGCCTATGAATGTGTTGATCTGAAACGCGATAGTCGATAGTACGATGGTGAAAACGCGAAATCACGAAACTACGATGGTGAAAACGCGAAAGCACGATGATGAAAACGCGAAAGTACGATGATGAAAACGCGACAGTACAATACTACGATGATGAAAACGCGATAAACTATCGTGTTTTCACCATCGTACTGTCGCGTTTTCATCATCGTAGTTTCGTGATTTCGCGTTTTCATCATCGTACTGTCGTGTTTTCATCATCGTACTATCGCGTTTTCACCATCGTACTATCGCGTTTTCACCATCGTACTATCGCGTTTTCATCATCGTACTGTCGTGTTTTCATCATCGTAGTATCGCGTTTTCACCATCGTACTGTCGTGTTTTCATCATCGTACTATCGCGTTTTCATCATCGTACTATCGCGTTTTCATCATCGTACTATCGCGTTTTCACCATCGTAGTTTCGTGATTTCGTGTTTTCACCATCGTACTATCGACTATCGCGTTTCAGATTAACACATTCATAGGCGATGGCCCTAACGGCATTCCGGAATGCCGTTAGGGCCATCGCCTATGAATGGTTTGATCTGAAACGCGATACTCGACAGTGCGATGATGAAAACGCGAAATTACGAAACTACGATGGTGAAAACGCGACAGTGCGATGGTGAAAACACGATAGTTTATCGCGTTTTCATCATCGTAGTATCGTACTGTCGCGTTTTCATCATCGTACTATCGCGTTTTCATCATCGTGCTTTCGCGTTTTCACCATCGTAGTTTCGTGATTTCGCGTTTTCACCATCGTACTATCGACTATCGCGTTTCAGATCAACACATTCATAGGCAATGGCCCTAACGGCATTCCGTAAGGGTGAGGGGCTGACAAGAGCAAACCATGTTCAAAACTGGAAAGTCAAACGAGTATAAAATCTGAGGCATTCAGAAATCTTTAAATAAAGTGCAATTAAAGTTGAATTAAACACGTTAAGTAAAGTAACACAATGTAAAAACTAAAGATTTTGTCGTTGTTGTTTTCAGTTAATCCAGTGTCGCACGGTGATAATATTCCATGTCCTATACCAAGTACAGCCATTAATATTGTACGAGTTGAAAGTACGACGACACCAGGTCTGTTTGAAAGCGCAAGCTTGTCTGTAAACGTTTCTAACACAAATATGCAACCGAATACAACGTCCGATTCTGACGTTTATAACTTTAACGTTTATGTTATGATGATGCCGTCGGCTACAGAGTCAGAGACTTTTGATTTAAATATTCAAATTGACAGTCAGTCGGTGCAGGTGGTTACATTCACTGCTGGGGGTCCTGGAGAATATCCAGTAAGTATAAAACATTATCTAGTTTAAACATATTTTATTTAAGCTCGGTTGCGAAACAAATTCTTGCAATTTATATTAATCACTTTCGAGTCAACTTCCTCGAACCAACCAGTACTGGTGTCATATGAAGAAATATGGTCTTGATCCGAGTAGTGCTTGAACCTTTGATCCCTGGATTGAGAGGCAGACAGCTTTTTACACGACCTGTCGAATAGAATATGCTGTCAAACATATATGGAATATTTTTGCCCAGCAACAAATCTAATAAAATAACCTTTGCAGTTATTTAGATGACTGGATTTGCAAAGAATAAAGCAAAAACCTTTGGATTTTGTTAAACTTTCAAATAGTGTTCAAGGAAAACTAATGTACATACTATTTAAGCAAAACTGCAGTTTAGATTAATTATCAGACTATTTTTTATTTAGACTGTTCCAATACTTTAAGTGTTTAACGTTGAATATCATGATTTGATATATTCAGGGTTTACGTGTACCTTTAAAGTTTATCTTCGTCCTTAAATTATCAATAGTTTTACAAGTATATTTTCACAGTTCATTGAATGTCGTCTTCAGATTTTTAACCTTTTAGTAATAATTTAATTTATGTATACCATTAGAGGCAAGTCATACCTTCAGAGTATTTATTTTCCTTGAAAGTCTTATGTTATTTCCTTTTTTCCAGATATTGTTGAATTTATAGTTTATTTATATATTTGTAGGAGAACGTCAACTATACCTACACGATTGACTGCGGAAATACCCTTAAATTAAGTGGTTCTGTGTTGTCCTACACAGTTACCATTGATACAACACCTGGGATAACTGCTGGGAGCATGACCATTGAAACCCCCATCCCTGTTAACATATCAGACTCGTATTTGGAATTCGTCAGTGCTACAGTCAAAAATAAAGGTGTCAATCCAGTCTGCATACCTTTTGGAGAATTAACAGCGGTCGTAACTGACTGGTAAGACGTAAAGCCTATACATGGTATCAAATAAATATTATTTTCAAAGATTCAGGCATATTTTGTAACCATTCCCATTTCATAAATATTAGATCGAGTATATTATGTAATTCTAGTAAAGTAACTATTGTACTACGCTGACAGTCAAATAAATATCATGAATCATTTGGGGAGAAAAAACAGGTCTTAGTTTTTAATAAAAGTCATTATTGTTTACTAAGTCAGGTTTTAAAATGAGTAGAATGCCAGTCGTGAAATCGAAAAGCTGACACTTGTTTACAGTATATATAATATAATAATTATTCTTGGGTATGCCAATATTAAAAGCCAATGATACTTCCAGACTAACAGATTACAACAGTCAGTTTGAAGCATAAGTTTATGAAAATCCGTCGTCACATTTTGTATCATAAGAATATTTATCATGCGCCCTCGTGAACAAGAGCATCAAAATATTTTACCTAATCACCACTTTCAATGTGAATTTGAGATGCCGAAGGTGACGAAAATCATCGAAATGTTAAAATAATTTTATTTTAGTATTTACAATATTATAAGTATATCTGTACAAAAGTATACAAATCCAGTAAATGAATAGATATGTTAAAAATCTGTTGCTAATAGGTCTTAGAATTTTTATGACAACCTTTAAAGTTAGAGAACATTGCTAGTTTATTCATTATACAGCAATATTACCAGAAATTCCTTCAGAACAAAATTAGCAATAGTTGTAATATATGAATATGGAATGAGAAGAGACGTAACTCTGTAAGTTATATTGCAAATCCTTGCAATGGGAGTTGCCTCCCTTAAATTATGCAGCATGTCAGAATAGAATGGCCGTACACAAAATACTTTTATCTTGTAAAATTATGTAATTGAACTATTTTGTATATTGTCATGTATAGATGAAAAATTAAAAATATTATATAAACATGTTATTACGTATGCATTTAACAGTAAAAAAAATAACATATACAGGAAAGGGTGAGAGCAAAGGGCGAGCATTATACTTCTCTTTTTGGTTTATCCGAAATAAGGTTGAAAGTTGTAATACACAAGGAAGGAGGATAGATATCATGATGCTATAAGATTATAAAGAAGAAAATGATATCGTTGTTAGCTTTCTTTAATTGTTATTATAGCAGTTAACGATTTTTTTAAATATTTTTAGGGAAACTGGTTCAGGTCTCAAAGATAAAGGTTCAATCTTCGTGCCGCTGATGTGTAACGTAGAGATCGACTCTACTGATGAGAATGCAAACAAAGTGGATATCGAGGTGAAAGTTAAACTCATTGATAGTGCTGAAAAGAATGCGGCTGATCGAACTGACTTGGATGAGTTTGGCATTGGAGTGAAGATTGGAAACAAAATTTGGGTAGCTAGTTGTGGATTCAACACGAAAGCACCGGTAATGTCGTTTACCAAAATTTATCAAAATAGATATAAATCATTAAAATGATTATAAAACTTGTAAAAGAAAGAAGGAATTTGAACTACTTTTCGATAATATTCATCGGCCGAAACAGTCATTTTTACGGTAAATCCGGGATATTTGCATCTCTAAGTGCTTAATATCCAGGCTGGCTGGTTAATGGATAGATCCCTATATGGTCATAGCCTGTCAAATTCCTATTATCAGATAAGTGCAAAACAATAAGAATTTTACTAATTAACAAAAGATCAAATGTCAATGTTTGTGGTTAAATCATTTGCTATTTAAAAAAAGCTCAGATTATGGATCTATCATTACATGTACTTTATAACTTTGTACACAAAGTTGAATGACAATGTTTTTTCTTTTCTTCCTTTCCTTCTATTGCTCTAGATTGACGACTTGAAACGTTACAATGGCGTGACAATTGAGGATGGATATGGACCAGTACCTTTCCCGGCTGACCTGGAGCTACAATGGAGTCCGGATAATGTCAATTTCCATACCCATAACCACCCAGTGAGAATTATTTTAATTAAATATCAAAATTATTTGATATTTGTTTTATAAAATCAAGTAAAATATTGCAATGATAGATGCGTGTTATATCTTCAACTTTTATCTAATTAAACATGTATGTATATATATATACCAGAAAGCAAATAGAAACAATTTTTGAAATGATAAAGTCTGCAACAGTTTTCTATAAGAGTCAATTTGAAACTGCAAAAAGTTTATTTTAGGATGCACGCTTGTGTACTTTTCGTTTAATGTATTATATTTATTGTACTTGTTTAAACAGTTTGGTACAGGTGTTGCTGGTACTGGCACGACAACCTATCCGATTGATCCACCACTGTATGCACGTTATGCGAGACTCATAAACAATGATGGGGGTAACGGTACAGAATATACTTTTGAAACCACGGGTGAGTTAACTTTTACCATTGCGTAGGCGTTCTCATACAATTAGAAATGTATCTTTCTAAGTTACTAGTATAGACATTTTTACACTATGGTATTTCCATAGAAACGGAAGTAGCTTTCGCACATGCGTATTTTGCGTAGGGCAAAAAGAACAATAGCGAAATATTACATTTTATCATTATTCAACAACTTCATTAACAATGTGATATAATCTAAATTATCATCTAAAAATTAAGAATAGTTTATTTGATAAATTACATATGCAATTGTTAATCTGAGCAATTAACTTGGATTTTCTGCAATTGAGCCGCGTCACGACAAAACCAACATAGTGCGTTTGCGACCAGCATGGATCCAGACCAGCCTGCGCATCCGCACAGTCTGATCAGGATCCATGTTGTTCGCTTACCAACCGTATTACAAGTAAAGAAACTGATAGCGAACAGCATGGATCCTGATCAGACTGCGCGGATGCGCAGGTTGGTCTGGATCCATGCTGGTCGCAAACGCATTATGTTGGTTTTGTCGTGACGCGGCTCATTTACGCATTTATTAATTTGAAAAATAACAGAAAATATTACAACATTAAGTCTTTTTCAAAGGATAAATCCATTATTTAAACTTTATGAAATAAAGGTTTCATTTTTTTAGAGTGTAGACGCATAACTTAAAATTTATTTGAAAAAGGTTAACCTTGTCTACAGAGGACGTATCATATTAATTTTTCCTGTACTTTTTATTTGTGTGCCATTAAGATTCGGGACTTGTTTATATAATTATAAGACCCGTTTAACTTATGTTAAGTTATACAGGAATGTATAGATTCCATTTCAATGAAGCTGCATGTATTATAGACATTCATAAAAACTTTTTTTTCTCTCCCTTTTTGTATATTTATACTTAAAGACCTCGGTGGAGCCGATTATAAATGTTCTGAAATGTTCATATCGTCCACTTAAATATCGCCTGCTTACTTTGATGCCGATATGTCACATAGCTGCTGTTGTTGTTGTGTGTGTGTGTGTGTGCGTGCGTGTGCGTGCGTGCGTGCGTGCGTGCGTGCGCGCGCGTGCGCGTGTGCGGTGTGTTTTTTGTTCTAATTTTTCTTCATTTTATCACGCGGACTGATAATATTTATATATAATTCGAATACATCTTTCGTTTTAGCGGTCAGTGATGACATTGACTTCCACGGGTCGACCAGTTCCACAATTAACTTGATGTCACAAGTGCAGTTCCTCCTAGATGGTAACGAAACCACATGTCTGACGCTGCCGTCAACCGCCTCCACTGAAACCGCCACTTATTACTGGGCTAACTTTAAAACATCCGTGTTTCGTGTCAATGACACTGCCGCTTTTAACCTAAAACTGACAGGACATGGACTGCAATGTAACACGTTGGCTGGACCTCAAGTCACTCTGGTGAGATGTTCTTTAATTTGTTAAAAGCACGTTTTATATGTACATGTACTGACTTTATGTTTACGTTAGTTTTTCACATGCTGCAACTCTCATCTGGCATTGGGGCAAACTTTTCACATGCTAGAGGTGACGTCATGAATGAAGTTATACACTCATACGCTACTTTGAGAAAATACAATAAAAGCCCATTATAAAGACCACCAACGGGCCTTACCAAAAAGGTCTTAAATGTAGTAACGGGTGAAATGACAAGTTTTCAATGAAAAACCAAATATTCACACAAAAAATTATCTAAAATATCCTTAAATGCTCGTATGCAAAAATCAATATCTGGCATGCATTTGTTTGGATTGAAGTGTATCATTTCCTCTGGTACCTACCAATGGGTGGTAGATCTAAAGCTTACTCCCGACAGAGCCCAGGACCGTCCCGGTAAGTTACTGGGATGATCCTGGACGATCCGGGGTGAAATCAATGATGCGGTCATACTTACTCCGGCAGCACTACGATAATTCCCATCTCACCACCCAGGATGAACCCCGGACAATCCATATGAAGCTATGGTTCATGCCGGCGCTTCCCCGGTCGTTCCGGATGCAGCCGGCAGAGCCCCGGTTAACCAAGGCAGAGCCACGGTCGATCCAGGCAGACAGAGCCCCGGCAGAGCACAGGACGATTCCGGCAGAGTCCTGGTAGAACCCCGGTGGAATGAAAACGCGCGAACATGATAACGTTGATAGATAATTTTCATTTGATATGTTCCAGAACAGTAATTCATGATGATTTTCCGAATCCTTATGCAAGACTGGACAGAAGAGAAATGGGGAAGGGTTTTAATACAAACAAGTAAAATCATCGCAAATTGTCGTGATTCTTTTGAAATGAACCAGGCTTTCTCGGGGCTCTACCGGGATTAACCGTAGCTCCATCGACATCCTCCGGGGGCCGGCATCCTCCGGGGCTCTGTCGGCATTCACCGGGGCTCTACTGTAGCTCTACCGGCTATATCATACCCCAAATCATCCCCGGTTTGTGCCGCTACGGTGCTTCCACCTTCCTGGCAATGCTAAGGATGAAGCCGACAAAGCTGTACTTCCCGGATCACCCCGGACCTCCCCGGTGATATTAGATAGTTTATTCCATCCGGGGTCGAAGGCCAGATGTAACTCCAGTTGTACCCCGGTCGTTCTCGGATCACCTTGGACGCCTACAGGGGCACTACTGGGGCTCTGCCGGGATGTGAGACTGAAGCTTAACTCGGCAAGCCTCATTACTGCCTCAAGGCAATTACCTTAGGTACGGAAATTCGATCCGATCCACACCATAGAACAGGAATTATCAATCTAAACAATAAATGAGCCGCGTCACGACAAAACTAACATAATGGGCTTGAGCATCCGCGCAGTCTGATCAGAATCCTTGCTGTTCGCTATCAGTTTCTCTACTTGTTATTGGGTTTGTAAGCGAACAGCATGGATCCTGATCAGACTGCGCGGATGCGCAAGCTGGTCTGGATCCATGCTGGTCGCAAACCCATTATGTTGGTTTTGTCATGACGCGGCTCATATAAACGATGCACATGAATTCTTTGTACTAATAAAACCAAATGAGTTTGATACTATGGCATGCACATTACTATGGCATGCACATAGATTAACTAGGACAAATTTAATCTGTCAAAAAAAATATACATGTTTTTATTTCCTTATTGGTGATAATTATTAACCAATTAGCACTTATATTAATATTGTAGTTTGTAAAAAAAAATACAGTTTAGCATGGCTAAACATTCTTCAAAACGAATAGTTAGGCTTGTTATGGATTCCTTAAGAATGTTGCATATACACTGCGATATACCGTATCCCGGATGTTGCTCGATATTATGAGGACTTTCATCCCATTTCGCAACTTTAAACGGGGAACAAATGTAAGTTCAGCAACGATAATTAGTTATGATATAAATTTTATAGAAAAACAAATATTTATATTATTTCTCTAGTCCCTGAAAACCCATAATTGTTGAGAACTAGCTTTGAAATGTAATTAAGAGGTAAATATTATGTTTCTTTGCTTAAGAAATAAATAACATCGAATCAGTCGAAATTGTTGTTTTTGTGCATATACATGTACTTCCTTAAAAGAAAAAGTTGAATCGAATGAAATTTGATAACGATGATAAATATTATGTTGTTAATGTTCAATTAACAAAAGAATGTCAGATGACAACGCTTTTTAAGAATAAATACACATGTCAGTGTACCGGGTATTGCTTTTGAGTTGCTGGCCGGTGTCACGAGTATTGCTTTTTATTGTAACGAATGTTGGTTATCAATTTCGAGTAAATGCGTGGAGTAGTCGCAGAGTATTTACCACATTCAATCTTAAATATTCCTTATTGTGTATACCTATTGACACTATATGTGCAACATATGCAGGGTTCGGAGGTTCTTTACTGAAAACATGTACGAATAATTCATAGGCAGTGAGATTTTCATTCCTGCTCATGAAAAGACTCAGTCGAACAAAATCAGCAATTTTCTGTGTTTACAAAGTTCTCGTTGCTATCGAAGGATCAACCTTTCAGAATGTATTTGTAATTATTGCATAACTTACTATAACACAAAATTGCATCGAAAGTGCATTGATGTTGCCTCAAGACTGTCAATATTAGCCGGTTTTGAGCTAATGTGATCAACCCACTTCCTACTATGCCATATAAAGGTAACTCTCGGTCATTTTGTCAGAAGTATCTCTAGATACATTGTATTTAAAAACCGTTAAGATAAATGAAATAGCTATTAGTTTGGAAAATATCGTCGATTTACTTACTTTCGTTCCCCGTTCAAAGAAAGTCCTCATAATATCGAGCAATATCCGGGTTACTTTGTTTTGTTTGTTTTGTTTCATTTTACGCCTTTTCCCAACAGTATTTCAGTCATATAGGCGGGTAGTTTCCTAACCATCGATCCTGGAGAAATACACCAGTACTAGACTACCTTCCTCCGCGCTAAACTACCAAAGCATCTCCCGGGGATCGAACATCCGGGGTACGGTATACCACAGGTTTTCTGTATTAATTTGTGCCATAAGCTAAGTCCATCTGTGTACACAATCCCGACTAATAATATCTGTCATATGTTTGAGGTTCGGAATATTCCGATCCGAACCGCAAACTTATGTCAGATATTTTTATCTTGCATATTCTTCCATATTCCATTTTTACCTTAATATGAAAATCTATGTCATTACACCCGTAGCTTTTTTCTTACAACATCGTATGAAATTACAACTTCATTCATATCATCCTAAGCATGCCATTGGCAGCACGCGACTCATCTGACTCACTGTATGCCAGATGAAATTTCCGGCACGGAAACGCCAGTCTGATATACAAAAAAACACCATCAGAGCATTAGAATAGTAATGGTTAAATTTCCGTGTTTTAAAGAAACACAAATCTTCTTGAGGAGGCGTACTGCGTTAACGAAATGATCCTGCAATTCACGTTTGATGTAACAGGTTTATATTGCGTCATGACGTAATATGTCTCTATTACGTCAGGACCATCGTCATCAATGATTCCTCGGAGGACATTCTACAAGTACATGGTATAGAAACTCATGCTCACTATTAGATAACTTGTTTCTTTTCTTCTGAAATTAGGTCATGCACCCAAAGAACTCGGACACACTCACATTTCTGGGAAGACGCAAGAAATGCAAGGTAACAAACGAGGTTGCAGGACCGCCGGTGTCATGCACTTATGAGTGCGCATGCTCAGATGCGACTACGTGTGCTAACGTCAGTCTTGTCCTCTATTATGACGGAACAGTGACAAGTGACTACAAGCTATGTGACGTATCGGCAACACAGTAAGCAGACAATATTTAGCAGATGACATAACGATATTTAGCAGACAACATAAACATTTCAGAATTCTTTTAAAGGACTTCACTGATGTGTCAAAGCCTAAAAACATACAATTTTAATTTCTTACTTAGATCATCTTGGGCACTCAAAACAGAGAAATATGGAAAACGTAATTAAGAAATATAAAAAGAAATCAATTAAAATTTGTATTTTTGGGCAATTCTACGCCCGAATGGAGTAATAACTTAAAAGCGTTGCAACGCTTTTCAGTTTCAGACCATTTTTCACAATTTGAATAATTACTCCGGAAAAGGGAGTGAGCAAATAGCCTGAAATTCCGCATGTTCTTCTGTCTGCCTTTTTAGGATTTTTGGTTTATTAATATGTTCTGTCCTAAATGCTATAAATTAGGTCAAGGTTCAAAACATTTACATAACTTACAACCCAGTGACAACATTTACTTTTTTTATGAGTGTCACCAGAACGTGTTTTATAATACACACATTATATTGTTAGTATAAAAGGAAGCATACAATGAAATGGAAAAGGATAAATAATTGTAAAATAAAGTATAATGCTTGCAATCATTTTAGATGTATCTTTTGTAAATTTTTGCGAGTGCGTGTATAAGGATGTGTGGGCACGCAGGATTGCAAGTTTTTCCTCTTGCATTATATCAATTTAGGCAATCTTACTTAACTATCGCCCTTATCACTGCTTAATTTCGGAAGGATTGTGACTTTATGATTGTTATTGTTTATATTGCATCTGTGTATATATGTGTTCATCTGTGTACGAGCTCTTAATTAAGGAAATCAATTGCCATCAAGATGTAATGAATTTAATGGCACATTATGCCTCAGAAATGAATAAATTTTTACTTTTTTAACTTAGAAAGGGCAAACATGAATTAAATAACATTTAAATAATGATTTCAGAGTAATATTAAGGCTTGTAATCTAAAGTAAGTAGCGATAAATGTAAAATAATGTGTCATAAAAGTGGCAACATGTAAACAAAGTAGTACATTGTGTATTTTGACTTCCATGCAAAATACTAAATGACTATTAATGTAAGAAGCAGATGAACATTATGGTTCATGTAATTTGCAAAGAGTAACAGTTTGGAAACTTTAAAAGTATACCAAAAATAAAAAGCTTTTGAGAAATATAAATATAAACATTTCTGAGGCATAATGGGCCTTTAAAGAATACTATTATAGAATGCAACCACTACGGTATGTAATAATGTTATGAATTATGTAATATTAAAATATATTTTATGATATTTTAAAGATTCAACATGAATTCATAAACTTATTACATGTATTAGATTACAAAAATGACTTAACAAAAACTATACTATGATAATGAATTTACATGTAATAATAAAAATATAATACGATTTTTGAATGACCAAACTTGTGATAACGATACACTATTATATCTAAATAAATCAACATAATATCATGTTATGGAATATAAATTGAAATGAAACACCATGTAAATGTCAAATTTTCAATGTTTTATAATGTAACAAAAGATTACAATATTAAGTAAATGAATCATTATGTTGTAACAAAGAGTTCTAATAATATCTGATTGAATCAATATGTAATAACAAAACTATACTATGATAGTTTAATGAATTGACATGTATAAACAGAAAATTCTATACGATTTGAACGCAATTCATGAAAACAAAGATAAACTATGATATTTTAACCAATTAATCTGTAATAACAAAGATATATTATGATATTTGAATGAATCAAAATGTAATAACTAGGATATACTATGATATTTATATCAACTGTGATAACTAAGATATACTATTACATTTGAACGAATCAATCTGTAATAACAAAAATATACTAGACATTTAAATGAATCAATCTGTAATAACAAAGATATACTATGATATTTGAATGAATCAATCTTTGATTCATCTGTAATAACAAAAATATACTATGACAATGGATTGAATCAATCTGTAATAACAAAGATATACTATAATATTTATATCAACTGTAATAACTAAGATATACAATTACATTTGAACGAATCAATCTGTAATAACAAAGATATACTATGATATATGAATGAATCAAAATGTAATAACTAAGATATACTATTACATTTGAATGAATCAATCTGTAATAACAAAGATATACTATGATATTTGAATGAATCAATCTGTAATAACAAAGATATACTATGATATTTGAATGAATCAATCTGTGTAAAGATATACTATGATATTTGAATGAATCAATCTGTAATAACAAAGATATACTATGATATAAGAATGTGTCAAACTGTAATTACAAAGACATATTATGATATTTGGATGAATCAATCTGTAAAAACAAAGATTTACTATGATATTTGAATCAATCAATGATATATTTCAATGATATTTGAATCAATCTGTAATAACAGATATAACTATTATATTTAAATGAATTAAACTGTAATAACAAAGATATATAGTATTTTAATGAATCAATCTGTAATAAAAGATATATACTATGATATACTGCAAAGATAAACTATGATATTTGAATTATTTAAATCTATAAATATATACTTTTATTGATACTCTGTGATATTTAACATGTAAACACAAAGATATTTATATAAAATTTGATTGAATCAACATGTGATGATAAAGATATAATATACATATGAACAATGAATCTTGTGGGTGGTTTTGTGCTTAATATAAAGATTTAGAGTCAATTTTCTGCTCTTAATTTCACATATAATTACATATTTGCACCTGTGACATTTTTACATATTACTAAAATCATTTCAAGGTCTCGATTTTTATGCATCATTTCTCCCTGTTTTGCTTTTTTTATCACGTTCAATTTCCTGTAAATTTAATAGCTCTCAATACATACAATGTACATGTACTTATATTTATGCACGTCATAGATACACTTAGTGTTAAAGATAGCAAGTTTTTTTACTAATGAACACAGATAAATTTAAAGCATGCATACAGATTCATGCAAATGTTCGTGATTTTTTTCTTCTGTAAATGTATTAAAAGTAAAATATTGTTCAATAATGAATAAAGGAAGTAATTTAGAATTTGCAGACAGCATTTACAATTTATGTAAATTACAAAAGTAGGTCAGAATATGCAAAAAATATCCAATACTGCGTAAATCACGCATTATAAATATGATGATAAATACTGCAAAATCAGTCATTGTTTACATATTATATGTAAATTATTTCTTGAATTTTAAGAGTATATTTTATTTATTAAAATGCTTGCAAATTTTTCTCAAAAATGATTTTATTGAAAATATTTTTTGACTCATCTGGAGGTATAGCAACTTTAATATTCAATATAAATACCGACAAGCAAACGGGTTTATCAGCATTGGAAAAGAGATGATCCTTAAATCACTGTTTGTAAATTATACAGTTATGTTAGCTCATATTCAAACCAAGTTAATTCATAAAACAACAATATTCCGCCCTCATATAAATTGTATTTTGTTTTCGATAATTAAAATTTTATAATTGTTACTTTCTTAGCTTGCTTATTAAAATATTTGCTTCAAAAATGCTCGTGTGTTTCATCTTTTTTGCCATTTCCCGCTTACTTTATATCTTATAAGCACTCGTTCATCTGTCAGTCCGGACAAAACCGTTCATTATTTTTAGGGAAACTTTCTGAGTGGACAGCGAACAGTGCAGACTATGCGCAGACGGCACAAGTTTGTATTCAAAATTACTGTTTGAAGTGTTGTCCTCACTTCAAAAGAACGGTGCTCATGGAAACGCCTAGATGCTGTACATACTATGAAATATTCCAGTTTTCATCTTAACCAAATCCACAAAGAAATTTATACAACATTATATATGAAAGGTAAAAATGCCCATTTATATTCCCATGTGCTCAAAACATTGCCATATGATAATTGATCCTTACAAAGCCCTTCATTTGTTACACCAAATACGCTAAAATGCTTAAGAATACATTTGTATAACAGTTTAGGGAGTGAAGCATATAACAAGTAAGGAAAACCTATAACAGATCAGGGAAGCATATTACAGTTAAAGGAAGCATATTACAGGCGAGGAAAGGTACGTAAACAACTGCTTTTTAGCCTCGGTCACTAGCACAAAACATGAGCTGCATCTCTGTACAAGACTGTTAGACCTGTTGGTGGTAGAATCTCAGTTCTTCGTGTTGAAGGAGATTGACGGTTCGAGCTCTACCTCGTCATATGTAAAACATTAAAAATAGCGCCAGCAGTCGCTCAAACGAATTTTTTTCTCGTATTCTCAAATTTCGAATGTTATTAATTAATAACATAAAATAATATACATTCAAAGTGCACTACCTTGTATTCACGGATTAATTCACAAGAAGTGCGTTACAATAATAATCAGTAAAGTGTAGCATTTACAAGTGTTATATAATTTCAATGGTATTTTAAATTATAGAAATGCGGGAGTCAACCTACCGGGGTATCGAAGTATAACACTCAAGGGCCAAACCTCGTATATGGAACACATGGAACGGGTTTTTGTGATTAAGCTTTTTTCCCTTGTATATTTTTGTGCATAAATACACAGAACAATATTTATTTAGTTATAGATAAGACAATTACCTTATTGTATCATTTTTATTTAAAATTTCTAGAAAATATAACAAATAGAAATAGTTGTCGCCATCACAATATATGGGAACATATTTCATCAAATGTGGTCCTTGGGAAATGTGCGGACATTATGTTCTCTGGATTGTAAATATCTGGCATTTATATATATTTCATTCAAAGAACCAATGTTTATTCACTTTATTTGTTTCAATATACGAAGTCGAACAACTTGATCTAAAAGATGCAAAATGAATGTGCATGCATTTCGCTCCTGGTGCAGACAAGCTTATTTCACAAGAAAAGGGGTTCAAAATTAAATCAAAAGGAGGATCGTCATCAGAAAGAAGATATAAACCCAAATTTATAAATTCATGTTTTGCATGCAGTCAAAACACTCGATTATCTCTAATCCTTTATAACATATCCTGATCAATGCCGATGCAACATCCATCTCTGATTGTAGATATTAGAGAATATCCACAAGGACAACCACAACTCTTTCGTACCGTCAGTTATTCGTAATTGGGACTTTCTAATAGTTTAGGTACGGAAGACACTTGCGCTGTTTCCATTCCAAACTATCTGTAACAAAGCCAGCTCAAATGTCAAAATAGTTCATGTAGGAAGCAATAAACTTCAGATTATTCATTCTAGTCCAGTAACAATATGCAATTTGCTTTAAATCACCATCTCTTTGAGAGATAAATATTTCTCTTACCACTCTATGTCATTGCAGTAATATTGAATGTACCTACACTTTCTTCTTTGATTTTTATGCATACGATTCCGCCCGCTTGTAATACGCCCCTACATAACTTGAAAAACTTCAACATTAACCTTCATATACTTCTCTATGATGACCCATCTCTTACATATCTGGAAATTACTAGTCATTTTGCATACTACACAATTATATTGACTAAACAAAAGATTTGTTTAGAAATTATGCATGATATATAGTCCCGTTATAGTCTCTAGATTACTCCTTCCCGATTATTTGGTTGCCTCTCTTTTTAAAAATAAATCGTGGATCTCGCTTTAAGGCTTCCCCATATTCATATCAGTTATGTAAGTGTATGTATAAAATGTGCAAGCTGGTTCCCACGTGTTGCGTTCTCTGGGTCTTTTCTTGGAACCACCTCAACTGGAGCTCCTAACATTTTTAGCGAAAATTCTCTTTCAACCTTTCTCTCAAAGTCGTCAACAAAAATATGGGTACCATTCTGCGCAATTAACGATGACGTAAATATAGACTGGTACCTTCCTGGGCCATTTCCAAATCCAGGTGGCGCGTCAACTATTATCACATCCCATGGCGTCTTAGAAACAATGGGAGGTAACTGTGACCGAAGATCAAGATCAGACCAGATTGTGCTGTCATTTATGTATTTATCGAACGCTTTGAGCAAATCCGTTGTGTAATTTACTGTATATGCTTCTAAAAACGGATATTTACCTGTTATGTTTTCAAACCAGAAACCTTTTGGTTCAATAAAGATAACTTTGCCTTTTGTTCTGTCATGCCAAAATGGACTGTCATTACCAAGTCCCCAAACGAGTAAATTTCCGGACGCTGGAAGAGCGTTTGTAATAGCAGCAATTTGTCGACTACTTAGAAGAGTACCATGCGGTGGACTGGTCAAAATAGTTCTATTTTTAGGATAAATACGTTTTCCTTCCCGATTTGATTGATATTTAGTTTTATCAAATTTGATCATATTTATATCCGATTTCATCACCTTTATATCCGCTTTGAGCGTGTTTATAACAGATTTTATCATATTAATTTTCGCGTCAATTGTGTTTTCCTGATAATTGGTTGACAAATCTTTGTCAAGTTGCTCATGAAACGTGCTTCCTTTGCCAATTTTAATATCTTGTGAAGAAAACAAATGAAATATGAACATGATCACCGCCAAACTTGAACACGTCACAACGACGAAACCGGGTGTACATCTTGATTTAATACTTTTCATACTTGCTTCAGCTTAATTTTTATTTAACATCTTTTTACACGTTACACAATGATGATTTAAAAAACACAAACATATTTATATGCACATACAACTACACCGATCATGTACCAAAGCTTGAAATCAACAATAGTACTCTGTGTTATATATATATACATGTTTTCTAATATTTAAATCAAAGTTAAGACTGCTTGTAAACCGATGTTTTATGATGAGGGGAAAATAGCATCATGGTTGAACAATTTTACAAACTTCATGGTTGAGTACGCAAAAGTCCATATAAACATATAAATTATTATTATTATACGCATTTATACTTTCAACATTCTCATTTCATTAGCGTAGCCAATGGCAAATTTTGTGGACGTCTAAGAGACATTCGACGGCAAAACGGATACTTTACGGTGTTATGCAGATATGGCGCGAATTATCATTTAAGTGTATATTGCTATATATATCTGCGACAAAAGTTATTGTTGAAATTTTGAAAAAAAAAAACTTCCAAAATGCCTGAATGAAAGAAATATGCTAGTATTTTCGTATTTTTCCTTAAAAGCAGTTCTGTGATTGATCCAGTGGAAATGAAATGTAAAAAGCAATGCAATGGTGCTTGTAACACCTCACTTTTGGGTCAAACGCACTTTTGTGTCCGACTCCAAAGTGCGTTACGTAATTTTGGGTCCAATCCCCAAAGTGCGTTACACAAGTACATATGAATTTTAACATCAGACAAACGACCGCCATAAGAATTAATTTTAGTGATTTTTTAAAATAATGTATTGTAGTTAATGCGAGTTGTAAACTAAAAACAAGGAACGAAGTAGCCGAAATATATTAAAAATGAAAAAATTAGAATCCCTAAAGAAAGTTCAAAACGGCAAAATTGCAAGTGTTGCAGGCTCGGTTTGATTGAGCGTGTACATGGACGGTATTCCTTGATTCAGAATACACACTTTCTCGTGTTGTATGTTGATTTAAACAAAATCTTAAACATATCAATTGTGAAAAATGCTTGATGAAGCCGTCACGTAACTTTATTATGATAACTTTTATTGAACTTACCTGTAACAAGTCATTTAAACAGAAATTGAAATACACTTGATGATATTAACTGCATTTTATCACTTTCCCATCATACACGTATTTAACAAAAGGGTTCAATATTGCATCAAAAATTATCAAGTATATGGCTGACAGAACGAATCTTTTACTTTAGTAGTTTGTTATATGGTCGCAATTTCTAAATATTTCAATTGGTAAAATGATAAAACATTTACAACTTGAGCATCAAACATATCTTTATATAATATTATTACTGCTACATCAGAATTTAAACGACACTTATTAAGATTGGTGTATTCAACTGAAATATTTCAGTGCAGAACTCAATTGACCCTGGAGATTTTGGGAACCCAAAGTGCCTTGATATGTAGCATATTACCGCGCTTTGGGTGAATTTCTTCATTTTAACACAAAATGCGTTTGACCCCAAAGTGCGCTGTAAAGTTTACTGCACTTTGGGGCCGGATCTTAAAGTGCGTTTGACCCTAAAGTGCTGTATTACACTGCACAATTAAATATATCTAAATTGATTGTTTCCTTTATTACTTTGTAAAATCGAAACATGTCCGAGAAAAAAAGAACGGGGTAGGTCACATTCCTTGTTAGCATGTCATGAGATTTAAAAAAATATGAAGACAAAAATCTTAAGACCTACATAGACGAAACCAAGTGGATAGCACCATAAAAGTATACAAATTATTTTCACATTTATTCTCAATACAGCAAAACCTATGTTAAACACAGGTAACACTGTAAATAAAGGTCATGCTTCAAAAACCCGTCATTGATCGAATAAAACAGAGTTACCTCCAGATAAAGACCACTTGTCTATAAAGGTCATGTTTGGTCTCTCCTTTGGATGACCTTTGATCACAGGTTTGATTGTACATGTTTATATAAAACGATTCATGATCTGCTCAAAT